GCAGCACAACTATAAAGCAACTGTAGCACCAAATTACTCACACAGCACTTCTAATTAATATCTGGGTGATAAAGATACTCCATGATCCAAGATGAGCTTCAAGGATTCACAGCTGTCCTTTGGGAATCACTGACCCACAAAATGATTTAGTTTGAGGCTTGGAAAAAATAAGTGGACCCTGCAATGGCTGATGATAACTTTTGCATGCGAGTTCCTCCACAACTTGAAAATTTGACATTGGCTGAACAAAGCCACAAATTACTTAGAATATTTACTCTCTCTTTCTTTAGGATGTTCATACAAATAATAAAGCTAAGTTTTTCCTTTCCAGCGTTGCCATTTACTTCAGTTATTTAGAGGTCAATATTCAAAAAGTCTGAAGGTTTCTGATCTCATTTGCAACCACGAGATTAAGTATTATCACATGTTTTCAAAAATCTGCATTCAGATATGAAAACTATTTGCAGCTGCAATTGATTACCAAAACCAACTGACTACTTCAAGATATTTTGCTTTCTTTGTTCTGCATACGTTTCCTCAAATTTAATTTGAGACTGAATACTGTTAGTATTCTTGGCAGTAAGTTGAACAGTTGGAGTATTGATCATTTTATCATACAGTTTTACAGAAAAATTCAAATGAAACACTAAGAAGATACATGGCATCTTTTTGTTCTTAACTGAAGTAAATATCAAAAGTAAGGCAAGACAGCTGACCTCTAAGCCTATATTAGCAAGTTTGCACATGAAACCATTCCAATAAATTCCATTGGTGGACACAAAAAATGTGTTCTGTCTCACAGACACCTTAAAGCAGTTCCACAAAACAGAAAAATACCTGCTCTGGAAAAAGGATGTTTTTGCTTGTATAATTCTGTCTACACTAGGACAACTATGTGCGTCAAGGTGTCACAAGAAGTTTTTTTGGTAAACAGAGCTTTCAAGCAGCAGGGATCAGCTTCCAAAAGAAAATTCCAAACAGGTCCATAGACCTAACCACTGCATGACAGGCACAGTGCACATTTTTAATGGAAAAAAATGAAATCATTAAGAAATGCCATATTAGAAAAAGTTCTATCGAATATTTAGTAAGAGACAATATTCAATATGACAATGACAATTCAATGTGCAAATGACAATATTCATTTGCACAACTGCAAATGACCCTTTAGTCATAGCGGAGAATATTTTTAGATCAATTCAGCTCCAGTGAGGAATTCTCAATTAACTTAAAACCGAAAGGAAATTTACTCTAAAAATGAAAACAAGAGTACACATCTAAGCAAGGGATATTGGTAAGATAGTAAGAAGAGGTTCTATAAATACACCAGAAGGAAAAAAAAAATCAGAAATGAAAGTGAAGAACAATTAGCAATGAGGAAATAACGATAAAAGATTAAACCAACGAGGCTGAATTCAATTTCTTCCTCACTTATATCCTCACTGCTCTACAAGGGTTAACTGCAAGTAGAGAGCAAGGTACAGGACCAGGAAAAGAATAGGCTATCATTGAATCCTCACTCACTTAGCAAGCCATAATATATTAAACAGTTTAAGAGAACACTAGAAATAATGTATGACTGGACAACATAGATAACAGCTATACCAAACATGAGTGAAAACCTCAGTTGTGCTGATTGGAAATATTAAAACCCCTCAAAAATTAGTAAGAAATCAACAAAAACTTTCTTCAGTTAAGGTCAGAAAACCAGCTTGGTCACCAATAGCTGATACAAACTGACATGTAACAGATGGGCTCATCTTACATAGGCTAGGATTATTAACCTTGTACAGCTTTAGAAAATGTTACTCTGGCAGTGAGATGAAAAGGAAGGACTTTGGTCTGAGATAGCATTGCTTTCACACTGACCTTGCACTCATGCTGAGCTTCTCATTTGTGTATCTAATCCCCAACTACAGTCAGCAGAGACCCTGTTCAGTTCACAGGATCCCTGCCTGGACACAGGTGCTTATCCCCACTGGAGTTGTCCTAGGCTTCCTCATCACTTCTGGATGATGGCCTGGAAGTGTAGAGACCCCAAAGGTCCTGTGTGATATCTGTCATGCCATGCAAATATCCTGGCACATCAAATGGCACATGCTGCCTTTCAACTCTCCATCCTCTGTAAGTGCAGGATCAGCCCTTGCTCACATGCAACACAGCCCTCTCTCACATACGACAGAGACAGAACATCCAAGTGTCCATCTGGAGCTGGATACTGCCCTTCAGCTCCCATCTTGACCACCCACTAGTGATCCTAGAATCTTTTTGTTCTATTTTTTTCTTTTCAGTTGTTTTCTCTATTATAAATATTCCTATTAACTATGGATTTCATATTACTTTGACATATTATTTATTCATAACTTAATTGTATCACATTGTTAACTGTTTATACAGTCTTTTCTATTTATAACCTCAGGTAAAATTCTGTTTGTGTACAACTTTGAGAGCACAGTTTTTACGAGGAAGATTCCCTGAAGTCTTATTTCCTGTTCACAGTGATTAACATGTGAAATAATGTTTAGATATACTGGAAAAATTTGCATTAGGCCAGACTTGAACAATATAGACCTGGCACAGAGCTGACTACAAAAGTCTTGTGAGTAAAGCAGAAAGCCCCAACAGCAAGCAAAAAGGCAAACATATCAGGGAGAAGGAGAACGCTTCCAGGCAAACCAGCCTAACCTGAAGACAATCCAGGATAAATTACTCTGGAAGTGCAAAAGCACACATAACAGTTAACACAAGATTTTTGTGGAAAGAACAGGATAAAAAAGAATTCTGGTAAGATTAAAAAGCCTGGGTAAGAGGAATGCAATAAATGAGATACACCTTGTTTATGTGGCCATTGACTTTGTCCTACCTGATGTTCCTTAAAAATCTAACTGTGGAAATACTGTTTAGATTAAATCACCTGTAGAGATGGTTGCAGAACCAGGTTCATGTGAACCTGAGCATTACTATAGGTGTCACCCAAAGTTTAGTGCTGGGTCCATTATCTTCCAGTAATTTCATCAATTAAGTTAATGACTTTAAAAAGCCCATACAACAAAAATCACTTTTGAAATAAAATATTAATCCATGAGGGCATGCATTTACAAACCTAAATGGCCTCAAACCTGAGAAATGGTCAGAAATAAACATGAAATCAATTAAATGTGTGTAAAATATTTTATAAAGAATAAAATGGAATAAAACAAGTTTAAAAAATAAGTTACAAAACAAGACCAACTGGTCAAGTAGCAGCTCAGCACAAAAATATCTACTGGGACCATAGATAGAACCACTATTGTTATGCTAAACAAAAATATACCAACATCCCTCTGGAGCATGGAAGCCCTTTTTGCCCAGTATTTAGAGCCTCAGCTAGATTGGCACAACCATTACACTTACATCACACTTTAAAAATCATGCAGCAAGTCAGAAATATGTCAGAAAAGAAAGACAAGCAGATAATATATTTAAAAAAATTACAGTGAACTATTTTAACCTATAATGTCTATCTATACCTCTAGAAAGACATCAGTTGAACAATAACTGATAAAAACCTCATGTTCACTTGCAACCCAGATACATGAAGGATGAAAACTGCAAACCATACAAAAATCCACTGCCTGTTACAAGAAGCAGTAGCTTAAAAATTGAAGATTTTCCTCTTAAATTTGGCTTTCTGAGCTAAGCTCTAGAACACATCTCCATACACTCATAATTCTTCCCCTGCTAGATGCTCCTGCCAGGACAGGATCTCACATGCAAAGTCCAACAGACCACTTACATCTCCCTGAACAACATGTAAGAGTTTATCAGCATAGTTTCTGCCAGTGAAGCTGTATTTCTACTTGGATATTTTGTCAATCTTGTGGGCTGAGGGGGAAGGGAGAGGCGAGATTCATACTTAAATGTGATTTTGTGGTTGTTTATACACAGAGTTCTAGCTGAGAGGGGCATACCAGCATTACCCTGAGGAAGTGGCCATGACTGTGGTCAAGCAAAGGGCAGAAATGGCTTTAAACTACTTCCAGAAAGAGAGAAAGCAAGACAGAGAATTACCTAATTAAATGACAATGTCTGTGTCTAATCAAGTATCTAAACCTGAGATAGCTGACATGTGCTCCCTTTGTTGTCAATGGAGATGTTGTCAACTGACCCCCAGGAGAAACTCATCCGCCCTCATGCAAGACTAAATGAGCAAAATTGACTCCAGTGAACTGCACTCCAGAAGTGGCTACTCCCTTTAGAATGTGAGACTGGGGTAAAAGTATTTGGTTTAGATATGCAGAAGTTTGGTGAAATCCCACCCCACAAGTGCAAAGACAAAATTAATGAAGAATGTGGAAACCAAAATGGAAAGAAAAAGTGAATAATATTAGAAAAGAAATCAGGAGCTCAGTAAAATTTACTAATAAAATACTAAGGTGAGGAACTATCAGCTAGAACTCAGCTGAATTATCTTTTACCTGATAATGTTGATTTGATAAAAAAATATTTACAGTTGCAGAGTTTGTTAGTTCTGGCAAGGTCTACAAAACTAAACTAAGAGTCACGCTTGGAGAAAAACTGTATAATAAAAGAAAAATTGAGAAGATAATTCAAATTTCCATAGTCCTCTGTGTCTATTTTTATATATCACAATTTAGACTATTACAAGAAAAGGAAAAGACAAAATTCAAGGTCAAATTACATTATTTTGTGAATTGTTGAAAGGGAAGGTAAATGAAAAACTATGGCTTCTCTGAGCAACAAAATAGTGGCTTAAGCAAATACTCTTAAGTACATTTCTTAGCACTTACTGAAGTATGGTTATTGAGTTGTTTCACATGCTATAGTAAATGCTTCACAGAATATTTCAATGTAATTTTTAGCAGCAAATGGTGATAATGAAGTTTCATAAAACTATGAAAAAATATTAATGACTAATTTATGAAACTGATGTCAGACTTTTTTTTTTTTCTTGAACTTAATAAATGTACACAAGTTTGTAAAAACTTTCTCAAACTTACCACTGGTGACTCTCAGCACTCCCAGCATCCAGCTGAACAGCCTTTTCAGCTTTAATCTTTCCTGTAAATGGAGAACAATATATGAAAGGATTTATTGTACTCTTCTACATTTTAGATGACTCCCAAGAACAAAGCAATCTGATTTAGTCCAGTAGCAAAGGAATTGCTTCCTGCTCTTAGAAACATTTAGACAAACAATGTAACATCCTGGCTTTACTTCATTTACATAGTCATACACTTACATATAAGTATATATAAGCTATATATGCAATTTTAGTATTTTCCTTTAAAATCCAATTCAGATGCAGTTAAATCATGGAAGGATTGGACTGGACTGCCAGAGGAGGCCATCATGTCTGTAAGACTGAAGAGCCCTAAAAGCAGGTCAGACAAGCACCTGTCAGAAGGACCAGCAAAACCGTTTCAATGCCTTGAGTACAGGAATAAACTAGTGGAAGTTCCTTTCTAGCACAAAGGCTTCCCTTAAGTTCCACTTTTAACTGAATAAAGATGAGAGTAGGTGATTTGATCAAACCCACACCCCCAGTAAGAAGTTCAGTTCAGATGCTTGCTGTTTGCAGAGTTTCAGCTGCAACCAATTAAGCTGCACTGACATTTCTGTATTCTAAGTTAACTTCATAAAAACAAAGAATAGCATACACAGTCCTCCTACCCAGTGGAATGAAAAATAACCATGAAACTATTGCCAGCTCTCCTGCAGTCTCAAGCCCTCTGCAGCACTTCCAAAACCTGAGATGAAAAAGGCTGCCACCACCCCCACTTCATGAGAATGAGCCAAACTAGGCTGGTTACTCAACACCTAAGACTCACTTTCATCATTCTTCATCTCTCCCTGTCTTTTGCTATCATTCATCAGCTGAGGTTACATGCAGTGACAGAATCACAGAATATGCTGAGTTGGAAAGGACCTACAAGGATCATTGAATCCAATCCCTGGCTCTGCACAGGACCACCCCAAAGAGTCACAACATGTGCCTGACAGCATTGTCCAAATGCTTCTTGAACTCTGTCACACTGGTGCTGTGATCACTTCCCTGGGGAGCTGTTCCCATGCCCAACAATACTCCGGAGAAGAACCTTTTCCTAATATCCATCCTAAACCTCCCCTGACACAACTTCAGTCAATTCCCTAGGGTGCTGCCAATGGGCACTACAGAGGAGAGATCAGTGTCTGCCCCTCCTCTTTCCCTCACGATGAAATAATAGCTGCAATGAGGTTTCTCCTCAGTCTCCTCTTCTCCAGGCTGACCAGACCAAGTGACCTCAGCTGCTCCTCATGCGGCATCCCAACAAGGTAGTCCCATCCCAGGTACAGAATCCGATACTTTCCCTTGTTGAACTCCACACAGCTGGTGATTGCTCAGCTCTCTGATTTGTTGAGATCTCTCTGCAGGTCCTCCTTGTCCTTGAGGGAGTCAACAGCTCCTCCCAGTTTTGTATCCTCTGAACTTGCTCTGTATCCATTCCAGTCCTGTGTCCAAGTCATTTATGAAGATGTCGAAGAGTACAGGGCTGAGAATGGAGCCCTCTGGAAACCCCCTAGTGACAAGTCCCAGTCTGATTGTCACCCCATTCACTGTAACCCTTTGTGCCTGACCCGTGAGTCAGTTGCTCACCCATCCCATGATGTGTTTATCCAGATGTGTGCTGGACATTCTGTCCAGAAAGATCCTGTGAGAGACAGTATCCAAATCTTCCATGATATTCAAAAATAATATATCAACTGGTTTTCCCTTGATCAGTTAGGTGGGGTAATTTGTCATAAATGGAAATCAGGTTTGATAAGCAGGACCTTCCTCTCATGAAGCTGTGCTGGCTGTGACCAGTGACTGCATTGTCTTCCAGATGTTTTTCTATACCACCCAGAATAATCTGCTCCATAACTTCACCAGGCACTGAAGTGAGACTGATAAACCTATAGTTGCCAGGGTCCTTCGTCTTGCCCTTTCTGAAAATCAGGACAATTTCAGCCAGCTTTCAGTCAGCTGGACCTCTCCAGATTCCCAAGACTGCTCAAAAACCATCAGGAGAGGTTTTGGATGACACCAACTAGCTCTTTGAGGACTGTTGGATGAATCCCATCAGGCCCCATAGATTTTTAGGAATCCAGCTGAAGCAGCATATCCTACACAATTTCCAGGTTGACGGGTCATTCTTTGCAGCCATGGTACTCCAGCTCAGGGCACTGATAACCCCTTGCTCCATCATCCATGTTGAAGACAGAGGCAAAGAATATGTTAAACATCTCTGCCTTGTCCATGTCGGCGTCTGTGAGAGGACCATCCTCATCCTGTAGTGGGCTGATGTTATTTTTACACTGCCTAATGCCATTAATACATTTTTTAAAAGTCTTTATTGTCCCCCACAATCCTGGCCAGCTTCAAGTCCAGTCACTGGCAAAAGCAAAAGCTGTAGCAACAGAATTTACTATTTTCATTTACTTTGTGTCATAATCCTCACAGCACTGTAGGATTTATGTACAAAGCCAAGTGCTACTAAAGCAAAGACAGTATCAATTATGTTGCTAAGACAGTGCAAGTTTTCAGGAGTATTTAGATGACAAAAGGATTGGGAAAAGGAATGACCTTGAACAAACTGAAGTTGTCTGTGGAATATGTTACAACAGCATGAAGGCATCATACTGCCTTTAAGGATGACAAAGGACAGCTGGAACTGCTTTGTCAGTGACATTGTCACTGCCAACACAACAAAAAGTCAATGAGAGGTGTCACAAAAGACAAAATAACCCAAACTTGGGTTACACTTAGAAAACCTGATTTGGTGCAGCAAAGAAGGAAGGGGCAATGGAGAGACAAAAGGAAGAGAGAAGTACTCCAAGATAAAGGCAAAAGGATTATTTTAAAAACAGTGCCTTGACTGGAGGAGAGTGACACAGTATAGAGATGTAGGTTTTAATGTAATAAAAGAAGGCCCAAAATAAACAGGGAAACATACTGTTCCTCTAGCCGACATCCAGACAGTGAAAGGAAGGGCAATGCTCTTAAAAGGGACCCAAAGAAAGTGCTATGACGAAGAAAATTAAAATCTTGTAGAGACTAAATTGTCAAACAGGACACATGGGAAGAGATGTTTGGAAGCAACATCAATTGTCACACACCACTTCTGTTTCTGGTCAACAGTTCCTCCAGATTCACAAAGTTTCATCCCCATCATCACCACAAAACAGACTGCTAATACGCAGGAGTGCTCCCTGACCACAGGAAAGTAGAAAAACAAACCCTGACCCAGCCTCAGCATTTACTTATTCCTCTTGCTATCCCAAGGATGTAATTAAGAAACTGCTGACTGTATCTGGGAGTTTTCACATTCTGTATCCATCTGTTTCTCAACAAAATAGAGGATTTTAAGGCAATCTGCAGAGACAACAGCCTCTAATTATGACCCATTATACTTCTCTGCCACTGATTTTGGATCTCTCATTGAGGAAACAATGAACTGAAGTAGTAAACTGTGGTGGTTTACTGCACAAAACATTATCATTACAGTACAAATGCTCCCATCTATTGGATTGCAAATTCCTTATATTGGAAAACTTAGCCAAAGTTCAAAGCATGTTTCACTACATTCATATGGCATTCTTCATAAACATTTTTTCCTCTTACCATCAGTGACATATTTCCTCTTCTCCTCAGCATCAGTAGTCATCTCAAACAGATCCCCATAAGCACGTGCAAACCTCCAAAGGAAGTCCACAGAGTTTCCATACTGAAAGTAGAGGACAGCTACATAATTAAACTGATCAGAATGTGATTTAAACAGTTCACTTTCACAATGTTTAAAATTAGTAACATTCTTAAAGCAAGTAAAGAAGATGTCAATTTTTTTGTTAATTTTCCATCTTTCTACATGCTACTTTTAGTTCATGTGAGAACCAATAGACCAATCTCCCATGGACAAAAGAGAATACAGCTTTTGGAAATACCCTGGACTATCTTATCTTATAAATCAGTTTAAATTTCTTTTAATATAAACATTTACAAGGTAATTCAGCAAAGCACAACAAATCCCTGAACAAACTGATGCATATTTTCTTTAGGGAAGCCATAAGCACCACACTCACAATATCTCATTTACCTTCCATGGTATTCCAATATTCAGATGAAAATACAGTCAGAATTAATGCTTGCCAAATGAGAATAAAATGGTACACTGAATTGAGCAATGCACATGAAACTACCTTTAAATTTTATCTGGAGTTACATATGGGCCCAGTAAAGTCAAAGAAAAAATTCACATGAATGGTATTAGAAAAGTATGAGCAGACTAGATGCTCACAGTTTGAGAACAGTAGGTTTGGTTGCGACTTAATTCTACAGGATTTTCTCACACAGAGTATTCTAAAACCAGCAGAAGTATAATTTACATTGAAAAAAGCCCATGATTTTTCTTTGTTTTATGGAAGAATCCCTTTGTCAAACAAAACCTCAAATTATTGAATTAGAATGGGATATAAAATAGGAGAATTCCTATGTCCACACAACATGAATATTGACACCACTTTGAAATACTGCTTTTTGACTGTATTTTAAAAATATGCTTGAAATTTCATAGCCCATTTCAATGTGCATTTTAAAGCTTGCATTTAGTTCTCAAAAGCAGGGTATTTAGTTCTCAAAAGGAGTGTATTTAGCTCTCAAAAACAGTCTAAGTTAATAGCAACATAATATTAAGTTTACCCATAATACCTTGTCATCTTTCTCAAGCAGCAGACTGAAGCCCTCCTTTTTATCATCTTCTGAGCCCTTGTGCAAATTGTCCACCTTCTGTAAAAAATTAAGTAAGTCATCATCTTCTTCGGATTTTACCACGGCATCAGGTGATTTCATACATCTCTTTTCTTCCTCGGAGTCTCCTTCAGAATCAGTATGAGCAGTAAGGTAACTAAAATCACAGAAAATAGTAACCATTTTTTTCTTAAGGAAAAAAAAAAAAAAAGGCATTGTTAAATTAAAAAGCCAAAATTTCAGAGTACAATTTATCCTGGTTGTCCAACTTTAAAGGATTTTTTATTAAGGATATCAAGCTTTTTGTTATTATTACAAAACCTTTATCTTCAAAGGGACAGCACAGTCATATTCCAAACATAACAGGTAAGTAATTATATTGCTGCCTAATACTCCATTAAAAAATGCAGATACATATTAGAAACACATGTAACCTTGTGCTTCAAATGCAGAACACTTGAAATCATTAATGTGTTTTAAGACATGCTCTGTAAGCCTGAATAGGCCTCTTCAACTCTTAACCTCAACTTCCCTATGTTTTGAACAAGCAATGAGCTTACTAACCAAAATATAAGTGCTATAACAATCATTTATACAGTATTTTCTTAAACACTTTTAAGATCTAAATACAAGCCTCTAAAAATAACAGCATTGTTATAAATTCCTTATTTCTTCTGAGCATTCTGAAGTTCAGAGTATCTGAAACTGGAAAAGAGCTTATATTGATTCATGATGCTTAGCGCACAACTCAGCACAAGGCGGTCAAGGGCAAAGAAATATTTGCAAAAGCATAAATATCACACAGAGATAAGCAGGTGGCTTTACTATCCAAAGTGCTGAGAATATATTAGGGTACTCTGATTTCAAAGAGGAGTAGCTGATGGCAATGTTTAAAAAAAGCAGCCTTTTGCTTATGTACTAAAAATGGACAGAGAAGCTTGATCTTCTGCATTTCCACTTTTGAAAATATTGTTCTGGGGAGGAGTAATAATGTAAACCTATCAGTTGCCAGGTTCAGAGATTTTCTAAATGGTTACTATGAGTACAAAAAGCACGGAATGTAGCAGATACATTAAGTAATTGAATAATCAAAGTAAACCATAACAGTCAGAATATAAAAAAAAAATCTATTTTCTTTTTTCAGAAATATAGCCAAGACAGAATGCTAGCAGTCAAAATGAAGGTTATTAACTGTGGCTTTCAAATATTCTGTTTTCAATACATTGGTTTCAGAACAGATGAGTGTATCTGTTATAACAGATGAGATCAGATACACTTCCAGCCTGTAAATGAACAAGTACAAATGCTTATGGAGCTACTGAAGTGCTAGATGTGGCACGACAGTTTTGCTGCAAAATTAACCCAGTGGCACTGGAAAGAGGAGTCAAAAACACGTTTGGATAAAATATATACACAGACCATTTGTACATGTTCAAACTGAAAAATATAATTGAGGAAAACAGAGATAGGAAACTTCATGTGTTTCTACAGATTTGTTTTACATAATCTTGACGATGCTGAAGTTGATGATACATCCTATGCTGTATCTTGCAGAGACTATCTCCAGTCACTGAACACTTATTTTCATTTTCTGAAGCATGTTTTAAAAGCCAGCATATTGTTCTTTCATAGTTATTTTGAAGTGGGCACAGAAATATATCATGGCTTCATTTGTAAGAACCCTAACTTAATCAAATGTATAAGGGAGTTCCTGGGGAGTAAGACAACCTTTTAGCTCCAATACAAAACTCTATGATGTGAAGTATGCTTGGAAAGTATCTTTCCTCATATGGTTTAGATGCACCATTCCCCCAGTTAAAAGATAAATGCAAATGAGGATCTGGGCAATTCCCAACCTAAAATAAGGGCACTAGATAACATAAAAGAGCAACAACTAAGCAGTAAAGACAATATCCTTAGTTACAGGAAATTGGGCACTGCATCAAATGCTACCTAATCAGGTAGATATGAAAGTGAGGAATTGGTGTTGGGAAGTCAGTGCTGATGCTGTATTCTTTACCTTTGCTGCATAAACATCTGCTAAAATTTCTATGATCACTACTGTTCCTGTGTTAGATAACAGATAAAAACGATTATTAGAAAATGCTATTCTCCCAGCAAAAATAAAATGGCTGGATGACAAATACAAGGTTGGGTTGACACCCAAGCCCACTGGGCTGTCAGTCCAAACAAGCGCAGCAGATTTCCAGCAGCACTATATCAAATGTCATGACAAAACATCAAATAAATTCACATGACATCAGGTAAGTCATATATTTATTGGGAGACTCATAGAAAAAGTGTGAAGTAGGTCACTATCTAATAGACCATATGAACCCATAAGGATCTAATTACAAAACAGCAGAAATAGCAGGGTCATGTCTTACCCATTCCCTCTCATCTCCACTGTACTTGCAAATTCTCTCCTACCTCCTCTAGTTACCTGCTTTATGAACCCTCAAAGTATTTAAATGTGGAACAGACCCTCTTAAACATTGCTTAGAATGTCATAAACTTCAATTTACTTGTTGGGCAATATCTGTCTTCAAAAAAGCAGCTAACAGTCTTATACATCTACGCATTCTAAAGCCCTAAAATCAGTACCGACACAAACAGAAGTGGAGATTCTTCTTAACACAGATTAAAAACTCCAGGACTTTAGGGACTGATAACACTACTCCAAAAAAGAAATAAACAGAAAACAAGGAATAGTAATTATCGTTTGTTTTACAAATATTTCATGCAACAGAAATTGCAATTTTACCTGATATTTTCCTGCAAGAGGTTTTATCAGACAATAAACAGAAAAATTATTTACGAGTGATAAACACATTGATCAATATTTTAAAATATTGAAGAATGATTAAAAAATGCCCAGAGTCAGTGCCAACTTGTTTTCACCTTTATTACTGATAGATTTTAAATACATGAGAAAAACAGTGATAAGAATGTGAAGAGCAATGATCAGCCAACAGGACTCAGTTGTATCAGAATGGACTGTTCAAAGTTCAAAGAACAAACAGAAACTGTGCTGGAGACTCACTTCACTGTGGCTAAGCAGTTCAGTAAATCTCAGCACACAGAACCAGATTAAAACAAGCTACAAGGTATAAAACACCCCTGTGGCAAAAACACAGTCACAGTTGGGTGGTTCAAAAACTGTGTTGGGGTGTCTGTAAATTGGCAGACACTGGGCCTAACCAGGTATCATTTGTTCACAACACTTCAGCTTTTAACAGATCAAATATCATCTGTCGTCTCCCTGCCAATTTAGAAGAAGAGCACAAACTGACACAAACACCCTCTCATCTGCTCTGGCTGATTCCACAGAAAGGTGATTTTATGTCACAGATGGATCTGGATCAAATTTGTGCTGTATGATCCAGCAAAGTGCATATCCATCAGTAATGATAAGTGGCTTCCAAGGAAAGGTTTGGCAAACTGGATTCTTAAGCCAACTGAAGGTTGCATTTAAAAGAAATGAACAGCAAAATAAATTAGAAAATGCTAAGGGAAGTGACACTCGGAAGCAGGCAAGGGAAATTCCTTTTCCTGTTGACTAAACTATTTCAAGGAAAACTTATAAATAGAACATCCATCAGAAAAGAATTTACTGCAGAGAATCTTTACGGTGCCTGATGCCAAATGCAATTTGAAGAGCCTGGATGCTGGGCCAGCTGAAAACAGGTGCCAAAATGACACTGATGTCCAGGGTTCATTACTGCCATAATCAGAGAGGAAACAGCTTGAAAATCACAAACGAAGAGAATTCACTGACATGCTCCATTCCAGGTGATCATCTGGACACTATTTATTGTATTTGTAAATAAATGAGTGTTTGTTACACATTCTCAAATGTTAAACATTGAAGTTTTCACTAGGACATTAACAGAACTGAAACAAACAAACAAACAAACAAAAAAAGAACAGAATACAGAAAAGCACAGACTAGAAACCGCAGACTCTTTACAATTTAATCTCTCATCCATTCAGTGCACCTTCCATTCAGGCTGTCATAATGTAAAAGTACAGCTCATTTATTAAAACACACGTGATATTTCTCCACTTACAGAAATACATAATTTTTGAAAGGCAAAACAGAAAGCTTCTCTTCCCAAGGTGTTGAATACTAACAGTGAAATTGAAAACATGCTCAGAGTAGATCAAAGCAGTGAAGGCCTTATCAGACACTGTCAGCTTCCAATATTTAATGAAAAAACTAGGTAGTACTAAATGCTTTTCTGGAAGAAGTTTACAAACCCGAAACCAATGTAGTCATCCAGCACAAATCCATAAAACTTCAGATTAGTTTATCTGTCAATTCCCAGCATCTATGCATTTGTCAACTAAAAACAAAAGTGCTTAACTCAAGCAAAATCCTGTCTTCTAGATCATGAAATTACACCGATTCCTCACTTTCATATCTACCTGATTAGGTAGCATTTGATGCAGTGCCCAATTTCCTGTAACTAAGGATATTGTCTTTACTGCTTAGTTGTTGCTCTTTTATGTTATCTAGTGCCCTTATTTTAGGTTGGGAATGTACAGAAAGGTGAAAAAATGTTTTATCAGTAACAAAGAGCAAATTTTCTTCCTGTAGTGCACAAACAAGCACCCAAATGCACCATTGTGTGCGGAATTAGCCACAGAAGAGTATAAAACAATGCACATGGTGTAATGCCTACAGCATATGAAGTAGTGATGTAGAGTAACTGGAAAAAAACCCAAGTGTTGCAGTTGACCCTCCTAGCCATGCACCACTCATTAAAGTTACAGAAGACCTCGGAAAAAGATATATATATATATATATATATATATATATATATTGCAACTGTACACATTAGGATTAACAACCTATTTGCAAGAGGAAGAAGAAAAACCACTATTTACTTACATGAAAATAAACTATCTCACATTTAGAGAAGATATGAAAAACAAAGACATCAAGTGCAAGGTGTTAATAGGAAAAAAGCCCATCTCTTCATAAGGGATTGAAAAACAGCATTGGGAAAGAACATAGCCAAATGACTAATGCTAGCTGTAACCTTGAATTATCTTCCTTGCATCTGACAGTACACAAATAGTTGTCAGAGAAGGTCTCTCTTAAGGACACACTCAATGTTCTTGCACACTATAATCACTTGTATTGGCTCACCGCATCAGCTTCTTCGTCACACAGAAGAACCTGAGCACAAAAGTTTCCTTGGCTTGTTTTCAAAGAGCAACATATCACTCCTGATCAGAAAACAGGATTTTCTCAAAAGCTACACAGGGAATAACCCCTGCATTGCGTCTGTGGATTTGGTAATTCATAAACTGGTCCCTTTGCCATATCAACATCTCTGAATATTTTATTTGTAACATGAAGCCCTCTGTAAACCAACCAGTGGATGAAATACTCTAAGAAACTAAAAGAAGCAGGATGGTTCCACACCAGATGAAGGAGGAATGTCATTGAATACTTATGCCAATCCTGAATACCTAAAATAAAGAACTGGTTCATAATAGAACTGACAGGTTTTAAAACATGGTATCAAAATATAAGATTTGTGAACCATGTGGGCTGGGATGTAACACAAAAAGAAATTCTGCTCACAGGAGCTGAAAAAGAATGTGGAAAAACTTAAATATAGAATTCCGTTAATATGCAACATCTTAGCTGTCTTTAGAATATTACAGTTAGTTAAAATATTTTTAAAGAGAAAAGGTGACATAAGATGGGCAATTTACAGACATAATGCTGCCTACACAGAAGTGTAAGACACTCTGAGAAATAGCTCAAAACACTCAGTTGCTATAAACATAGTATTAATAAATTGCATGTAAGTATCTAATCTGATTATACCAAAACAAAGTTGTAATTACAGGAGTCTAATGTCAAGACAAAAATATAGTGCCTCTCCTGGACTCCTGGTACATATCATCCCCCAGCATGTTCCTCAACTCATGAGACTAAAACATCCCATTAACTACAAGATGTGATCAAAACTAGGAACTTAACTCATGAGACTAAAACATCCCATTAACTACAAGATGTGATCAAAACTAGGAACTTTCTACCTGACTGAGTCAGTACCCTAAATTCCTCATGGTCACTTTTTGAGCCACCAGAAAGTGTATGCAACTGCACATATACATAAGCATTGCCACTTGTACAGAGGTTCTGCTCAGACGTAGCTTCCATAGTATGCAATGCTTCTAGGCAGAACACTGTAATAACTCATCTGTGAGGCTGATAAAAAAACAATTATCGGGAAAAGCACATGAGCATTTGTATAGTTTGAACTAACTCTGTTAAAGACACACTAGAAGAACTTTTAAAATTACACCATTATTCTGAACTTTGCCTCTCATTACATAGCTATGTAGCAATACTGCATCAGTGTTACCAAACACACTCTTAAGAAAAAAAAAATCTTTATTATACCTAGCATTAAGCCAACTTCAGCCATAGTGCAGACTCAGAGATGATCACCAAGAGTCTTCGCTGATCTAAAAACCGTTAATCTGAGCATTTGTATTTATTTTTCCAGATGTATAAAATCTGAAACAAACTTTTAAAGGGCTCCTGTTTACAGTTTCATATAGGTAATGATGTAACTTGCACTGCTTGTGTACAGTAGAATATACAAGTTATTATTAACTCACCCTCCTTCACTTTCTGCCTCCTCAGAGCTGGTAGTTTCTCTTGCACTAGCAGTTGTCTCTGCTTTTCTCCGCCTTGTTGCCCTGTGTGATGGGCTAACTCTCTGAACACCACCCTTTCCTTGAAGCTCATTTCGAACAAGCTCTTCAAGTTTTGGAATAGCTTCTTTCAGAAATTCCACCTCCCTCTTCAGTTCGTCCATGCTTAGTAGCAGGCCATTCAATTTTTCCAGTATCTGCAGCTGCCTTCCATGTAAAACCATTATTACTCCTTGCTCATTAGGAGCCTCATTTGGCAAGCCCACAGAATTAATTCTGTTACCTATATCCTGGAACGCATGAACACGCACAGCTGCAGCAGGCTTTCGGCTCTTGCGGTACCAAACCAGCACCAGGCTTAATCCAGCAGTCCCTGCCATTATGCCCAGTATTAGTCCTTTATTTTCGAAGGGAGACATTTCTGCACGGTCCTAGAATTATGAGACAACAACAACAGTTTAAGATGCTTCCCCCTGCTCTACGCAAGAGACTTGCTCCACTCTGAAATCAGGAAAGCATAAGGCAGGAAGAACTGCAGACACAAAGTTACACTTTTTGCAGGTTCTGCAATGCGAGGCAGCAAAAACAAGCCCAAAGTGGGTTTGGGGGTGTGAGGGCGCTGGCACGTGCAGCCTTCACTCTTAACCGTCCCAGCATCCAGGGATTTGTTTGTTTTAATGCGAGAAACTCATATAATTGGATTTTCCATCATTGCAGAGGCGGAAACCCAGCTGTCAGGCCGGAGGGGCGTCACGCCGGTCCCCCAGCCCCTGCACGCCGAGAGGCTGCCAGAGCCCCGCGCTCAGCTCTGCCCGCCCCGCAGCAGCCCCAGCCCCGGCCCCGGCCCCGGCCCCAGCCTCGGCCCCAGCCGCCCCGGCAGCGCCGGCCCCGGGCCCAGCGCCGCCCCCGGTACGTACGTACGGCCGGGCCGGGCCGCGGCAAGCCGGGAGCAGCAGCGCGTTCAGCCCAGCAGCCCGCAGCTCTCCCGCCGCGGCGCAGGGGGCGGCGGCGGAGCCGCCCGTGGCGGCGATACCCGGATCGAGGGGCCGGGCCTGGGCCGCGCCGCCGGCCGGGCCGCCTGCGTGCCGCGCGCTGCCCGCCGCAGGAGGGTTCCCCGCAGCGCTGGGAGTGCCGGCGGGCTGGCTGCACCTGCCACGGACCTGACTCGAAATACACCGTTCTAGAGCAAGTGTACCTGTTCGTGTGTCTGTCCTCAGTCTGGTGGCCGCTCGATTTCACCGATTTAACCTTTTGCTACTTCTAGGCCACAGAGAAATTGTGTTTCCACTGCATTGGTGGAGACGTGAAGCTGTAAAATTACGGAGAAACCCCGCCCCGTTGTCAGGAAGACAGGCAGTCCCGGCACGAAAGCTTCATTGCAATTTAAGGCATCTAAGGGCCCAAAGCTGATTTCACCAAAGTCCATTACAGATTGCCCGAAGTCTGGAGGAACTTACCATAGAATCATATAATGGTTTAGGGTGGAAGGGAACCTTAAAGGCTGTCTAGTTCCAGCCGTCCTGCCATGAGCAGGGAGACCTTCCACTAGAACAGGTTGCTCAAAGTCCCATCCAACTTGGCCATAAACGCTTCCAGGCTTGGGGCATCCACAGCTTCCCTGGGCAATCTGTCCCAGTGCCTCACCATCCTCACAGTAAAGAATTTTTTACTAATGCATAATCTAAACCTATTCTCCTTCAATCTGAACCCACTTTCCCTTGTCATGTCACTCCACGTTCTTGTAAACGGTATTGCCCCATTTTTCCTCAAAGTTCCCTTCAGGTGCTGGAAGGCCACAATTAGTTCACAACAAAGCCTTCTCTTTTCCAGGCTGAACAATCCCAGTTCTCTCAGCATTTTTTCATAGGAGAGGTGCTCCATCCTCAGTTTATCCTGGTTTTCCTTGTCTGGACTCATTCCAACAGATCAGTGTCCTGTGTTGGGGACCCCAGAGCTGGATGCAGCACTGCAGGTGGAATATCACCAGAGCAGAGTAGAGGGGCAGAACTTGGATTTATCAGAGTGTGGGGGTGTGCCCCATCTGAGATCACTTTTATTGGTGACTCTCACAAGACTCTGCTTTGCCCTTTATGGAAAAAGGATCTGGCTCCTGTTTCTGGCCTTGGATGGAAGAAGGATCACCACAGACAACCTGCTCTGACCATTCATCTTCCTGAAGGCTTGTGGAGAGCCTCTGCACGACATCCTGCCAGAATTTACAGGCATAAACCTCATGTTCTTCTGTGTGAGGGCTTAAGGAAACCATCATGGAAACCACTGTGTCTGTGCAATGGAAGAAACTCTTCAGCAGCTGAAATTGTCCTCAACCATATCAATCAGAAACAGAGAAACACAATTCTTAAAAAACATACATATTGCCTTTAAAAAGTGAGCAGAGTGCTGTTCAAGACAAAAACAAAGTACCTATAACAGGTACCAAGAACTGAAGATTTTTCAGTCTTAGTACAAATTAGCAATTGTAAATCAGTGTAATGTCTATTTATCATCAAAGTATTGTTTAAACCAACTACAGCTCTAAGCTTCATTAACATCCTGAGGATGCAATTAGCCTTATGAGACCAAACTACAATCTGAGACAAAGATAGAAATTTGTTGGAATGAAAAAGTGAATACTGTTTCAGTATTTTGCAGGTTTCCCAGTTACAATATAATAATAACAAAATGTGTAATCTGTTTGTAATTTGAAATTTTTAAACAAAGGATGGAAATCTCTTTAATTTTATGGAAACCTCACTAAACTCAATTATTTTAACCAATTTCACTATAAGTAATGGTTTTAAGATACACAATCCCTCAGTGTTTTAAAATTGAACAAGAAAACATAAATCTCCATATACTGATAGTGCTTCAAGTGTTCAGGAATGGTAATATAAATGTGTTGGAAAACCTTTAAATTTTATTTTCATTTTTTTTCAGTATATTCTGCCAAAATCTTTCTATAAGCCAATTAAAACAGGAAAATATTTTTTAAAGAGTATTAACTGGAGGGCAAACATAGCACAGAGCTGAAACAAAATACTATGGATGCAAAAAGCTAAGTGAGTATTTTTGAAGATTTTCCAAAGCGACTGTCTCAGGCTGCAGGCCTTAGACAATGAGAACTGTTTTCAAAAAGTAATGTCCCAGGAGAACTACCATCTACAGCTCCCTGGATATGTATCAACTGTGAAAATCAGGTCACCTGTCTGATCCCAAAAAGTTATTGCATATATGTAGAAACTTGCTGAAACACAGCAGCTTTCCAAGCTGGAGAACTAAACATCAATTTATCTAGACTTGACATAATTCAATTGGCCTAAATATGACATATGTTCTAAAAAAACTGAAATAAATGCTTTTAGAAAAGCACTATTCTTCTGCATATGAACTTTTCCTAGTTTAAAAGAAACTTTGTACCTGAAGTCCTAAAAAACAAGTCCAGACAACCATCTGTTATAAAATGGTTAGCCCCAAATATTTTTAGTGTATTTTCAGCCTTATTTCCTAAGAACACAAAGTTTATGCCCTCAAGTTGTCCGTGTGTTGTCCTTCTCACAAGCCATACCATGACACTTCCTCCACCCAGTCGCTTCTGAACATGGAGCTTAATTTCAGCCAATTGTGACAGAATATGTCAAGATCATGGAATTGTAGAATCATAGAGTTGTTGGGGTTGGAAGGCATGTTAATGATCATCAAATTCCAACTGTCCTGTGATGGGCAGGGACACCTTTCACTAGAACAGGTTGTTCAGGCTGCATCCAACATGGCCTTGAACACTTCCAGGGATGGGGCATCCACAGCTTCTCTGAACAGCCTGTCCCAGTGCCTCACCACCCTCTGAGTAAAGAATTGCTTCTTAACATCTAATCTAAATCTCTCTTCTTTAATCTAAACCTACTTGTGCTATCATTATTTGCCCAAGTAAAAAGCCACTTTCCCTCTTTTTTTGTAGGCTCTTTGAAGTATTGAAAGGCCACTCCAAGCAGTTTCAAGGAGGCCAGCACCCCGGCCCCAGCCAGATGCAAAGAAATGAACTTAGCACACCAGTGCTGCAACACTGACACACCTGCATAGGGCACCAGCCTTCTTACAGCACTATTTTTGTAAAACCAGGAAAGGCAGTTTACTGGTCTTTTGGGAAAAATTGAACTTGGACAACATTTTTGTGCCATATTAGAAAAGTTAGCACATTATTGAGTGATTGTGTTCAATGGATCAGAGACCCATTACATAATGTGTACATAACTTACACAATGTAAGTAATTGATGCATGCTGTTTCCAAACAAAGTGAGCATAATCTACTGGTGGTTTCACTTCTGTATGGAAGACATTTGTGTTTTACAATTTTCATCAATTTATTTAGCTTTAATTCTTCTGTCCATTTTCTTTCATAATAGGCTGTTCTTTCTGAAATGTCCTTCCCTCCCCCACTCCCCGGAGATTAATCTACTTCTTGTAAGAGATACAGAAGCCTTTAATGAGCTAGTAGCAGTTCATACTTATTACTTCAGCAGTTGTCTTGTAGGTGTAAAGTCAAATATTGTTAATATGTCACCAAACATTGTGAAAGCTTAAATACCTTTGACCAGACTTGCAACCAACCTGTCAGAAATCCTTTCTGGATGTCAGAACAGTCAGAAATCACTGTTCTGTCAAGTTTGGTTAAATTCTTCTGATTTTTTTTTTGTTATAAAAGTAAAGTTATAACTTACCTCAAAGGGAAGCACTCACTGTCAGACTTGTCAGTACTTTCTGCTGCTTTTGGCCTGAACAGTTGTCCAGTGCCCCTAATGAAAAATTAATCAATTGAAGTTAAAAGGAGATGGGTAATAGCACACTGATCTTTTCTGTTTTCTTGAAATAAAGATGTACTGCTTAGCACAGTTCCCTGGGGAGATGAGGCTGCCTCTGTCTTTATGTCTCAATGCATGCAAATATAACCATAACTCTCCCTCCTCCCCAGTATTTTTGAATCCTTGGCCAGTCTCAGTCAAATTCAACAGAGAAACGCTAACAAATTTTGTTGAGTTAGTTGATCTTTTAAAGAAGAAATCTCTGAATTAGAGTCACTGCTATGGGGAAGATTACTTATCCCTTGGTGTAAAACTGAGAACCCCACAGGAGAAAAGCATTTTGCAAGAACAGGAAAAGCTAAAGCAGAGCTCACATTTTATCAGATGTGAACAAACAGAACTACAAGTTATAACCTGATAGGAAACCTGAATTCATCAGTTCAACTGCACTCAAAATCATCTGTTTATTTATTTATTGATAGGATTGATAGGATCTAGTGCTGCAATTTCAGCTAAGTACAAATGGTCACGGATGGCACAACTTTTCAAACAGCAAAAGAAAAAAATGTACGTACTGTTCCTGCTTCTTTGTGTCTTCAGGAATCTCAAGGACATTATCAAAATATATTTATACAAGCTCTGTTAATTTTTTTAGGCCAAGGTAGATGATTCAGTTTCCTTGATGTAAGACATGAGAGTTGGCAGCCCAAAAGAGTTTGCATATGTTGTGTTGACAACAATAGGAAAAAATAAGCAAGGCTACATCTGATGTAGTTCGACAGCACTGCCTGATTTCTTCACAAAGAAGAAATTGTCCTTAGAGTGCCTGGGTGAAAATAGGAAAAATATATAAACATTCATAAAATGAAAAATAATATATGTGTATAAAAATATTTTTACATATATATGTATATGTTCCTTGGGAGTTAAAAAATCAAAAAGAATCAAAGTCTTTATAAAGATGTGTGTGTGTACACAGTGTATTCCACATCACTCACTGTATTTTCTTTTATTGAATGAAAAGTGTCCTTTTTTTTCAGCTTCTCTATAAATACGGTATTTCAGAGCATACTGAAGTATTTTAAAGAGCTTTACTGTTTCCACATGCAAATGGCAGCATGGCCCTTCCTGAACTCCAGTAACTATTGCCTAATGGCCCTAGGATGTCTCCAATATTACATTAAAAAAATCATCATCCAGGTTATATGGTCTTTTCTTCTATCATCTGTCCCTCTTCTCTGCTACCACTTGTGAGCTTATAAAAAAATTTCCTTTATGATATCAAGTTTCTATCTAGGCCACTAAGGCTTTGTGTACATTAGCAAGCAGTGGGGTCTGACAGGAGTGTGTCTCTGGGCCAAACAGTTGGTGCTGATGCCATGACATCCATGCTGTGCCTTGGGTTAACTTTTGCCAACTCCAGCCTGATCACAGGGGCTGTGTGCCCGTTCTTGGCTGCAGTGCCTCTGCTGTGCTTCTGCAATGGATATTCCCAAAGTGCAGCCAGGTGTTCCATGCCTGGTACATGGTGA